ACAAGTGGTGGAGTGTTATTTAATTGGTTCATTCTCAAATTAATATCAGATTATTGTTGTAAATAATGAACATGGCATCTGAGGACTTCTTCGGTATTTTTGTTCTCCATTGTTTTTCTTTATTTAGCGATGTTTTATTCAGTCGCAGATTCCCTCTTACATCATACTCCGGGGTTTGTGGGGTACTAGAGCAATCTTACAATCTTTAAAAATTGTGCTTTCATTCTCTTAACCAACTAAAATTTGTATAAACTATATATGGAATTAAAGATACAGATTACACGTGTTACAGTAACTTGCTTATTTTGCTCAAGATCTATTTCCACATGTCATACTAACTATGCTTCTAACCACAGGTCGAGAGCTGTTGCTGATTGTAAATATAGCTCAACAACAGAATTGTTGAACTATGTTGATAACGAAGGAACTCACAACCTTAGTTGGCTAAGGATGCTTTTGGGAAACACACCCCAGAGTGATTGTTGACTTACGGTAATTGTACGTTAACATGACAGCGATGTATTAAAAAAGGAAAAGTTTTTCCATCGCATCTTTGAAAAGTTTCGCATACAGACGACGTTGTCAAAACGATCCCCGTTCACACAGATCCGCGAAAACAACTAAAAACACTGTATTATTCATGCCAGGCCAGTAGTTGGCGATGTTACTTTGTAAAGAAACACTAAGGGCCAGATTTACTAACGGATTGTGCCAGCGCAAACTGTCTTTTGCCACTAAAATAGTACTGTCAGGATTTACTAAAGACACGCAGTGAAGAATTAGCGCTGAAAAGGCGTGGATGCAGTTATTTTTGCGCCTGACCTTATTGAATATGCATTTGTAGGAGTTTTCCTTTTAGACGCAAAATTTATGGTAGGAGAGTATTAAAATGAATCATGCAACACGATTTACTAATGTTTGCACTCGTCAAATTACTGGGATTTGCAGCATTATTTAACGCTCCAAAAAAGCAAGTCTTAAAGCAGCCACTAATTTGTGCTGCTCTTGGTAGATTGTGTTGGTCATTATGGAAATGATCTGGCTGCGTCTGTGTTCTTTCATTTGCGCATTGTCAGTAAATCACCCGCATAAATTTCCACTCCCATTAGCGCTTTTATGGAATTGTGCTCTCGCACTAATATGCCGTTTAGTAAATATGGCCCATTGTGTCTGCACACATACCAATAGGCTGAACAAATAATACATATGCGCATGACATCACCGTTTTCTCAAATTTGTGTTTTTGTAATTTACACAGAGACAATAATGGTATCGTTTTCAAAACTTGCACTTTGTAACCCGTTTTCAAAAGTTTGCATTTTCAGGCCCCCGAATGCTGTTGTTGTGTAAATGAGCAGCCAAAACGCATAAACAGTTTTCAGTTTTTAGATGAAAATGGTGTGGTGTAAACGTACTCTTAGGCCCAATCCCAATTCTATTTTATACCCCTTCCCCTCCCTGAAAATATTCCCCTAAGAATTGGGACACCACTACTATGCCGTCACACAACATCATACGTCGTTTAGCTCCTACAATACACACACCTATACTGGTGTGCTGGTGTGCATTAGAGCCTTTAATTACCGTTCTATATT